TATAACCTCAAGCTTCTCACTCCCTACTGCCCCATTTCTATTTGAGGCCTTGCCTTCAAAGAAACCACAAGTTCAAGACACTGGCCTCTTGGTGGTATAGCAGTGAACCGAACAGACAAAATCCCTGCCTTTGCAGATCTTATATTTAATGTAGCTATTAATCTTAGGACATCTTGTTGTCCCTGGCCTTCTAGATGACAGGCATTATTTGAAAGAGCTTTTCAATAATTTTTGAATAATTCGGAGAGTATTTGCAACAGAATCATCAATGTTCAGAGTACATTGTTGTACAAAGTTTTACATGTATTCTCAATGTGTAAAACAGGCATACTTGAGGTTATTTTCGTTAAAGTGGGGATGAGGGGTCCTGGAGCTCCATGTTCTCATGGCTTGCTGTCCCCAAGGTTTCTGAAGAGCTCTAAGGAACCTTTAAAATTCCATAGAATATAGTTTGAAAACCACTGTTACAGTAGTGATGCAAGGGAACTAAGTAAGACTTAAGATTCGGGGTTTCTTTAAAAGCTGTCGTTTGCTTTTCTTCTTTCTCTTATTCCTACTCATAGATTCAGTTCTCTGATTTTTCAGACCACATGAATTTCAGATTTCCTCTATAGTGCTAACAGCAGATCATTTATTTCCAGTGCTCACTAAGTAATGTCTATCATTAGTGCACATGAGCACCTGTTCAATTTTATCATGTGATAGTAAAGAGAGTCTTGGCTTTGTTTTGGACAAGGAATTTAGAATCTCTGTCTTAGTAATTCCTCTGAGGGGGTGAGGAAGAGGGTTTGACCAAGGTCTGTTTTTGCCTTTAAAGCTTTTCTTATGATTTTATGAAGGCTTAGGGAAATGTGTGTCAGGAGTTCATAGCAGTCTTCATGGACACCTTATTAGAAAGCTACACTTTGTTTGTAAGGAAAGGATGACCTGATTATGTCCATTTTCAGCACCATGGAGAGTTCAAGCTCATTCCTTGTTTCGTGTTGGTGGAAGGTACATAGCTAAACCAATCCATAGAGCCGGGTAGTAGAGACCTGCTGCCCTTTTGCAGAGCTCAGTTTAATTTGTCCAATCTCCAGTTCTGATTTCAAGATTAAGTGAGAGTCAGCAGCAGTCCCGAGTGTCCCCATCCTCCCTGGGATCTAGTAGGTGTGTAAACCTCAAATTCATGTATAGACCTATCCAGGGATTTGGCCAGTTTGACAGAGTCATATGAGTGAAATCCTGCCTTCCGCTCTATTGGTAATATTCTTCATATTGTGATGCACAAGGTTTTTTAACAGTCCTTGAGAAAAACTGTCTCCTACTCTTCTCTGCTCACAAACCCTTGAGAAGACTTAAAGTTGTTTTTTCATTCCTTGGGCTCAGCCTCTTTTCTGTCTCTGCAGGGAGAAAGGCATCATTGTGCTGGCTCTCTGCCCAGTCTTGCTTTTGTATTTCTTTGATCTCATTGTTCAGAGGGTCTCAGAGAAACCCCAAGAGCCATGCCTTTGCATGTTTAAGCTATTGATGCTTTTGAAATAGCAGAGCGTCGCTGTGTAAGAAGTGTATTAAAGGTCTATCTTGAACAAATTTGGGTCAATAGGTGGCAGTAGTCACCTAGTCCCAAGGCCCTGACACCCCTGAACACACAAGCACATTTGATGGCCATTATACTTAAGGTTATGAGAAAGGAGGTCACATTGAAATAAAAATGGGGGAAAAGCAGTCCTTTTTTTGGAATCCAGGAAATGCTGAAATGTACTGGATTACTTCTGTGGGAGCGTTGTATGGGGAAGGTTTCTGTCAGCTGTGAAGGTCACTGGTGGGAAAGAGCAGGGCCTCAGGATTGGGCGAGTACTGTGTGGATACTAGGGCTTCTGAGAGCTAGAGTAAGACTGTTAAATGAGGACTAGTGCTGAAAGGATGGAGTCTAAGGTTGAGGGGAATAGAGAGAGGGAGGTGGAGGAGGGAGGGGCAGAGCTGTGTGAAGGGACCATGGAAAGGGTGGGCTGTGATGGGGAGGACTGCAGTTGGGGGGGAGGGGCAGGCTGCTGCAATAGTGAGCCTATCTAATGGGGGAGGGGAGGGGGAAATACTGGTCTGTGCTGCAGCTGCATTGGCTCCCCTCCCCCACACTTCCCAAGGAGCCAGAGCAATGCTGGCAAATCTGTCTCCATGTATTTATTATTATTAAAAATGTGAAGGATCCTTCCTCCCTGGAAGCACAACAAATTCCACTGATCACATTTCTCTCTTCCCTCCCTCTGCAGAGCTTTTGCATTCTCTCTTTCATTCTTTCCACCCTACCCCTCCCGCCCCTAGGTCTGTTTGACTGGTGGGGGGACCCTTCCCTTTCCTTCTCAGAGCTTGGTGGCTCCCTGGGGGTTTCTAATGATGGTTGGGAGTTGCAAGGCAATGCTGGGAGGAAGCAACTGAGTGAGGGGCATCCATTGCCCCAGGGAGGGAGCTATACTCCAACATCCTGTGGGGAAAGGAAATCACTTGGAAATAAAGATGAAATCTTTTTCTCCAGCTAATGAAAGAAGAAGCAGGTGTACACATTCCTTTTCGTACCTGGCATTCCTCCTCTTTCATACCCTTTTTCCTTCTACTGCCTGAATTATGAGGAGGAAACCCCCTTGGAATGGAAAAAGCCAATTTTCTGTCCTCCCTCCTTTACCTTGTTAAGTCCCTCTCTTCCCAGGAGAGCCATATATTTTTTCTTCTAGCCTGCATGTTGTGTTACTGAGAGGTTTGTAGGGCAGAAGCCATAGCTTCTCTCTTCCTACCTGCACCCCAGACTCCCATGTCCAGGCGGGGGCCTCTTTTGTTGCTGTCTGTAACCCTTCGCCATGCCCATAGGTGGTGCTGCTGTTGCTCTGCTTGCAGAGCCTTCTCCAACACCGTACTCCCCACCCCCTGGTGCCCTCCCCCTATCCCCAGCCCTCTACTGCCTGATTGTTATTCCACCAGCGTCTCCTCTACTGTTCCCTTCCTCAAATTAATTTTGTGGCTCTCTTTTTTCCGCAGTGCCATCTTCTTCCCCTCCCCCCTGCTCCAGCTCTCTTGCTTTCTCTGTCCCTATTTGTCTCTCTTTCTCTCTGCAGGATTTCCATCTCACTCCCCAACCTAAAATCTATACTCTTTCTTCCTTCCTTCCTTTTTCTTTATCTCTTCTATCTTTGGCATCTTATAGATGACTCTTCTAATGAAAAGAGGCTGTGGGTGAG